TATCTGTGTTAGGGGCAACGCCCCTCTGTGTATTTGAAGGGAATATGAACAGTGAACGATACACAGATATTCTCAAGGGACATTTACTTCCATCTGCTCACGTGTTCTATGGAAATGTTTTGATTTTCCAGCAGGACAAAAACCCAAAACATGTTCAAAGCATTCACAGGCCTGGTTGCGGACCAAAAATATGACATTATTATATTGGCCAAGCTATAGCCCTGACCTAAATCTAATAGAAAATGTTTGGGGACTTATGAAGGAAAGTGTCAAGAAGAAAAATCTGACAAATAGTGCTGAATGACTGACTGAGTGAGTGAGTTTGGTTTTACGCCGCTTTTAGCAATATTCCAGCAACATCACGGCGGGGGACACCAGAAATGGGCTTCACACATTGTACCCATGTGGGGATTCGAACCCGGATCTTCGGCGTGACGAGCCAACGTGCTGAAATGAAAGAAGAGGTGGTCCGATATTGGGACAGCATGGACCATGACTTTCTAACTTCTTTGATCAGTAGTATGCCCTGCCGGAATGAAGCCTGCATTGCTGCCCATGGTGATTTGACAAAATACTAACTGTTCACCTGTCTTTGAATCTGGAGTTATGTTCTGCTAATATTCACATTAAAACGTGAGTAATGAGTGAAAAAAATAATAAAAAAATACAATCTTTAAATTCTCAATAATTTCTGGTTGTACTGTATCACTACTATAGACAGTCTCCATCTTAAATAAGATCATACCTTACTTTATAAAAAGCACACAAAATATACCACTCAGAGTCAAGGACAAAAAAAATCTTGTTTTTGAAGCACTGAGTATTTCCATGCTGTCATTCATATTTTTCTTTGGGTATTCACTCAACATATTTTTACTAATGTGGGTCATGTTTACTTGATATTATCAAACAAATGCATAGTAGTTCTTAAAAATGAATCCTTTGCAAATGCAATTTTTTTCAGTAGATTTCCAAGAAGCACCTGTTACAATACACAAATATAGCATAATAATTCCATCATAAACAAAACATTGTGATCCTGTGTTCACCAAGTTCATGGCATAAACAATCCACTCCAGCTGGTACACATCACATCACATCAGCATAAGATTCCCAGACCTCATAACAACTGAAATGTTTTTCACATTTTCTTCACATTTTTAAAGATATGTAAGAAATAACTTCCATGCCATGAATAGATACGAGTCACATCATGGTCTTCTCCATCCTGCTCACGTTTCTGGTTCATCTCCCTTCAGGTAGTTGGATACACCATACCATAACATCATATTCACATTGAGTTCTGGCAGACAACTTGTAAAAGGTTCAGTTTACTCCATATATGTCCAATGATGCCATGCATTGCTTGGCATCAATGTAAAGCGTCCCTAAACGGCAGGCCACCCTAATGAAAAAACGCTTGCTTACTTTAACTATGTGTAAGAGCAGTCAAGAATAAGTAGAGCCACTATAACCTTTGCCAAATACTTTTTAGTCTAATGACCCAACATAACTCTCAACATAATTTAAGAGATTTTTGCTGTTATTACTTGGACAATTATGGGGTGAACATACTAAACTGAATGGAATGTTGCTGGAGTCAGTCTTTAGGTCGTTGACATGGGTGTAATGATTGATTAATGCTACTGACCAATGATATGTTGACAACACATCAGTGTAAATAGGGAGAGATCAATCATGAAAATCTATCTTGCACATTATAATTCATCTTTCCTTGCATATAAACTTGTTTCTGTTTGGTTACAGAATGGGCAGGTTTCTCCCATGAAAAGCCCTGACAGAAAAGGTATATAACATTCCATACAATTCCATAAATACTACCAATGTGAAGACAATCATGTGATTGTATCTTGAAACTGGACACTAACAAATGCAGATTAACCAAGCATATCTGAATGTAATGCCACGACAAATAACCCTGGTTGTGCTTATGTCATCTGCCAGCCGTCAAGATGACCATAGAAGCTATACCGAGGAAGACACTTCAGATTTATGGGCAAAACTTATGCCAGTAGGATAAATTAGTTATCAACAAATACCTCAGGGTATATGGCGGATTTACCTGTGTGTGTGTCTATATATACCAAGGTAACAGTAGGCAAAGTATGTTCATATTCTACTATCACACACACACACACACAGTGCTTTATTTATCAGTTGTCACAGTTGGGGTCCATATGAGCAATCAAATTAAACAATACTAAAATGTACATATGGAACACAGAATTCACTACTTATTGAAACATGCTTGAGTTGAAATGCATCTAAAAATCATGATAATTTTTCACAAGCACAACTTAACTTCCTTTTCACTAAACATGCTAATAAAGACTTGGAACAAGAATACAAATTTTGCAGAAAAAAATAAAAACTAGAATCGTATAAAGAAAAAAACAACCCCACAACCAAACCAAATTCACAAATGACAGAAAAACACACATATCAGTGTTTGCCATTAACTATATTGAAATTAAGCATGAAGTCAAGTGGTCCTTGTAACCATGGTATCTTGTAACCATGTTCTGTAAGATTTCAAAATCAATTACAGGACCCTTTTATTTCTTGTTCTTGAATATGTGGTACACTTTGGACACAATACCGGTACATTCTTTTCTTCATCCTTCTCTACATTTGTCTGCACTGGAAGCATATTTGTGTCATGTAAATCAGATCCTCCATTTATGTTAGTGAACATCTTTATGAAACCTGTGCTTGTAATTGAATCCTCATTAAAAATCATTCATCCTTTGCCATCTTCAATATTTAAAGTGGCCATTATTCCTGCATGTTAACAGTCATGTCAGTTATTTTCAAAACACTGAGTGCAAATGCTGCGATAAAACCAGGAATAAATAGTATTTGTTACCTACAATTTGAATCATTTCTTGGGAATTATTTGCCTAATGAAAATAAAGAAAACGGGCATTGTCCAGCAATAAATATCCCACATACGTATTAAACAATTATATTCTCACATTTCACTCTCAAATTCAGGAATCAAATAATCAATAATTTCAAGAAAAGCATCCAGACTGAGGTCATGATTTACTGAACAATGAGGTTTATGTCTCACTTCCCAGCAAATTGTCAACAGAATCCATTTAGCTTTGAGAGAGAGAATGTATCAAACACGATGACCTAGAACATTTGTTACAAATATATCTTCAGTGAGTGTATCAGAAAACTCCAATTTTCTAGCTAACACAATCATTACTGATCATGCACACACACTCAAAAACATCACTCATCCATTGAAGAATACAGTTCAAAATAAATGCTTAAAAAGATACCAAAACAGCAAACAAGTCAAGAAGCAATCACTGAGTAAACAAACTAAAACAGTAATGTCAACATAAAATCTAAAAATAGAAATAAGGAAAAAAGCATACCTTCTACCTTTTCGGATACATCAGAAAAGCAATCATAAAAGGTTGACTTGTCCAGAATGTCAGTGGAATACAGACCACCATTACCACTTTGGAAAGAGAAATTTCTCCAATATGATTAACAATCATTAAGCTTGCAATAAAGAAAGGGTCAGTTCAAAAATAACCCCCCAAACTAAGTTATGTGAAAACTAAACTGGTACATGGGAAAGCAAGATTTTTCTTTGATGTACATGATTAGTCTTGGTAATGGGGTTATGTATAGATCAATATACAAAAGTATAGGTTGTTGCGACATTTCAGCAAATTAGAAACATATTAAAAATTCAACATGATTAAATGTCAAAACCATACCAGGTAGTTTTGAATGGATTAAGAGGAAGCTGAGGTTATCAATAAGACTAAATTAGGCATCTCCTATGAGACTGGAAACCGTGTGCTAACCTGGAGATAAGTCAAAATTGGTAAAAACAAGTAAACCAAACATGCAAGTCAAACGCAGATACGAAGGTGAAAAAATATTAGCAAAGCCTTTGAAAGAATAATGAAAATCCATGCCCATTCCTCAAGTAACAATCTTATTAAGTTCAGTGACCACAGACATGAAGATAGGTCGATATTTGCAGATGTGTTAGCAGTTTATTCTCTATATGACATACACATGACATGAGGGAAATAGTAGTTTCAATGTCACATGCAAACTACTATAATAAAGCTAGGTGTACAGAATTATTTGGATGTTTGATGTGTAACCATTGCCAGAGCAAACTACAGAAGATCATTTATGTTGTTTTCAACATAGAATACACTGAAACTATGTACAAAATAAATTGAGTTAAAAGTAAACCTACTTATAATTATCTTAGTCTTACGATCTAAGTGAAAATTTATATTAAACGCGTACCGTATCGTCAGTTATGTCCGCAGGGGAACAAATGCTCTAAAAATATAATTTTGACAGCCAGCGCTGGATCTTTCCAGCGGCAGTGTTTTGCCCAAGTTCTTATCTAGTTTTAAAGATAAGCACTCGGTAACGACCCAACTGAGCCACAAGCAATCAGCATCTTTCACTGACACACGTCTGCAGACAAGCTCAGATGCCTGGAAGAGTCAAAAGCAGGCCAAAATGTTTTGAATAACCAAATTACGTGTCTTAGACCAGGAGCCTTCACCGACAGAGGGTGTAGGCTTTCAATATGGCCGCTCAGTCAGCTCTCCCAGCTTATAGACTAGAGGCGTAACGGAATGCACAAAGTTTTGTGCACTAGAATAAATTCCAGACCTGTGCTTCTGACTACAGTTATACACGTATCCGATAACCATATGAAAATCAATACGATTTTTACATAAAGTACAACGTCTTAAATATCTATAGGAGTGTTACCCCATTAGATAAGTTTGCACAGAAAGTTTGTTACGGGCCGACTGGCCCCGTTTCTTTGTTTTGCTTATCATAACTTTCCGTTCCGGCAACAACAGGCCAACAAAAGTAAAAGTCACTACACAATGACAATTAAAGGGATAACCAAAACAAAAACTTTCGGCCCTAGTATTCTTTATCTAACAAATCAATACAAACGATAAACAACTTACCTTCATCTAATAGCTTTTCCGCATGTACGAAAACGTTCGGAAGAGCTTGTATTTGTTTCTTATCTTTTAGTAACTGTGCTAAATACTCTGGCGTGTTACGCTCATCTTTGTTAGTTTCAGTCCCCATGTTATAACAAGCTTTTGAGCTCTGTAGCATCTACCTGAGTTAAGAAGTGTTAGATTCCAAACTACAAACCACGACTCGTATTAGCGATTCCTCTTTCCATCAAAATTTGTTTATGAACACGTGGGGTATACTGCGCATGCGTCAGTCAAGGCTCGTACATTCCTCCACAGGGAAGGGGTGTTAGGTTAGTCCTTGCGTTCACGTTTATTCTCACGGTGTTTTAAATAAAGATTCTTATCACAATACAAGTAACTAACACACGTAAACATATGTCTTAAATGTAATTGTAATGATACAACTGGCTTTGCCATGCATTGCAAATTACACATTCCAACTGTCAAAAGAAGACTGAACCCCCTACGTATCGACCTAATTCATTGAGAGAGGTAAGTCTCGATGACAGTGCTCAACAAGTTTGACAAATGGGTAAGAGATGCGCTCTTAATGGACGCACAAGACATAGAAGCATCATGTTTCAGTCGAGGTCGACGTTTTTCGTGCTGATTGGAGGAGCTATCTTCAGTTATGTTCAGCACAGGAGGTGAAAACTGCAACTGTATCTTTCAAGTGAGAAGAACGCTCAGGGTTTATTTCTTCTGTCTGTCTAAAAATACACACAAATATTGATTTTGTTAAAACATTTTCTTAACAGTGTTAAGCAGTCTATCATCAATCCAAAGAGCATTTTGGTGGAGAAATTTCTAATTCAGAAAATGTCAGAAGTGGCAGGTTCTATGTTAACCCTGTTCAGAACAAGTGTACGGAGTATCTGCGGCAGACGGGAAAATCAATTCTACTACTGAAGTGAGTTGTACCCTTCGACGCCGTATGGATTCGTGGATTTTCATTTTCGTTCTATGATCAATTTCAGACAGCTTACTTTCATAGATTTTTGAACGGCATATGAATGAAAAAGGAACGAAAAATGTCCGTTCAGTTGATTAGATTTAGGATTAGTTGCCTGGAAAAGCTGCATAAACTCAATTAAATATTATTTTCCCTTCAACCTGTACAATTTGCAGTCAGCCCTGGGCCATGTTGGAAGTACAAGTCAAGCACATTCTTACAGAGACACAGGGGGACAGAGATCGAGTTGGTCACTAGGATGTACGACCTGTGAATATACCAGATCCACGACACTGTAAATGAGAGCCCTACAAGTAGCCTGACTTACACAATAATGAAGCAATATTATTATGCCCCCTAAGAAATAGAATGATTCTGATTTCAGACGCACTCTGCAGACATTGTTTTAACTGATGCATGGCTCGTCCTGTACAGTATGTTCACGCAAGTATATATATGACATGAGAGGTATCCGATTAGATATGGAATCAACGAATCATGCAATCATCACGACTACTAGCGGAACTCATAATACATATGTACGTATTCACACACATATATAATGAATCATACATGTATGTATTTATTATGTAAATCGTATTCAGCAGTTATACATACAGTATATGTATGCACACTTCGTCACTCATTTTGGGGTTAGTATGTGACTTATACATGTACATGTGTACATGTATGTTGATGGGGTTGGGCAATAATGTTTGCTTATAGTGCAAATCCCCTGCAGCTAATGTAATTCGCATTTAAAATGGAATTATTGATATAGATATATATATGTACATGATCTGTCTGATGTCAAGAGGAAAGTTACCTTGGTCTTCATGAAACTACATATATAACCGGAAAGTTCTGCAAAAGCTGAAGACCAGTATTATTTAGGAAATACACATACTGTGTTGGGAAATCTGAGGTATATAGCGAAATAATAATAGCTCTAAATTTGACTTAAAACTGAACGCGTAGCGTGAGGTTTTAAATAAAAAATGTTAGAGCTATTTAGAGTTTATCTCCATTCCACCATAACCGCATTATTAAGTTTTTAAAAATCAGAGGTATATAACGTGATTATATACCTCTGAATGACTTTGATTAACCAATCACATTCCAGTATTTACTAAAGTCATGGTAGAATTCCAAATATGCCATGCTCACACGAAATTCTCTTACGATGCAATCTCGGATATATGCTTCTATTTACTTTAATAACGTATTCCTCCAAACTGTTCGTTATTGTTTCATCCAAACTAGTTTCTATTGTAAGAAGTAAATATCCTGCAGGTGTATTTGGCATAATATGTAACTCAACCCGTGCATGGTTGACGCGTTTTGTGCTTCGCGGAGTTGGTCCCTGCGTTGGCCGTCACAGCCTAGTGAACTTGGATTTCGCCTCAACCGTGTAGGAGACCCCTCGCAGTATGTACACTTTATGAGGCGTGAAGACCTCTAAGTCGGTTGCTAAGAAACCGGTTTGACGATGCGGGGTAAAGGGGTCAACACAGTCGATCAAGGAAGAAAACACATGTACTAGAATCTATCCATCTATCTATCTATATATATACGCACATATATATGCAGAAAACAGGACGAGTTGATTCGCTATATATCAAATATAATGTGTGTGTTCATCTTGAAGTCCCGTGCATGCATTTGTGTTTTTGTTTTGTTTTATCTTAGTGGCCGTTTTGCCAGTGGACAGGAATAGCACATTCCCTTACTTCCGTTACCGCACCGTTATCAATAATGGGCGCAGTAAGTTTTACGCCGCTTTCAACTATATTCCAATTTCCAATGCAATAAGAGCATTATTTCTGTAGAGAAAGTTTAGAAACAATGCATGGTGCATACAATAACAAACTTGTACGAAAAAGACAACATTTCACTGAAACAAATATATCAAGGAGATGAATATATGTATCGTGCATTATGCAGGTTATGCATGCTATTATCATTGGCTGTCTCCCTGATACATTGTGAGTTCTATACACGGCATAGTGCAACCGTGACTGTCGTCCTGGTAACCTGTCAGTTATATACACGGCATACTGCAACCGTGACTGTCGTCCTGGTAACCTGTCAGTTATATACACGGCATACTGCAACCGTGACTGTCGTCCTGGTAACCTGTCAGTTATATACACGGCATACTGCAAACGTCACTGTCGTCCTGGTAACCTGTCAGTTATATACATGGCATACTGCAAACGTCACTGTCGTCCTGGTAACCTGTCAGTTCTATACACGGCATACTGCAACCGTGACTGTCGTCCTGGTAACCTGTCGGTTATATACACGGCATACTGCAAACGTCACTGTCGTCCTGGTAACCTACTAGTTATATACACGGCATACTGCAACCGTGACTGTCGTCCTGGTAACCTACTAGTTATATACACGGCATACTGCAACAGTGCTTGTCGTCCTGGTAACCTGTCAGTTATATACACGGCATACTGCAACCGTGACTGTCGTCCTGGTAACCTACTAGTTATATACACGGCATACTGCAACAGTGACTGTCGTCCTGGTAACCTGTCAGTTATATACACGGCATACTGCAACCGTGACTGTCGTCCTGGTAACCTACTAGTTCTATACACGGCATACTACAACAGTGACTGTCGTCCTGGTAACCTGTCAGTTATATACACGGCATACTGCAACCGTGACTGTCGTCCTGGTAACCTACTAGTTCTATACACGGCATACTACAACAGTGACTGTCGTCCTGGTAACCTGTCAGTTCTATACACGGCATACTGCAACCGTGACTGTCGTCCTGGTAACCTACTAGTTATATACACGGCATACTACAACAGTGACTGTCGTCCTGGTAACCTGTCAGTTATATACACGGCATACTGCAACCGTGACTGTCGTCCTGGTAACCTACTAGTTCTATACACGGCATACTGCAACCGTGACTGTCGTCCTGGTAACCTGTCAGTTCTATACACGGCATACTGCAACCGTGACTGTCGTCCTGGTAACCTACTAGTTCTATACACGGCATACTGCAACCGTGACTGTCGTCCTGGTAACCTGTCAGTTCTATACACGGCATACTACAACCGTGACTGTCGTCCTGGTAACCTACCAGTTATATACACGGCATACTGCAACCGTGACTGTTGCTCGAGCTTGTTGGTCAACATAAGTGTAATTGATGCTTCTTGGTCAACATAAGTGAAAGTGGATCTTGTTGGTCAACATAAGTGTAACTGGAGTTTGATGGTTAACATAAGTGTAACTGGAGCTTGTTGGTCAACATAAGTGTAACTGGAGCTTGTTGGTTAACATAAGTGTAACTGGATCTAGTTGGTCAACATAAGTGTAACTGGATCTCGTTGGTCAACATAAGTGTAACTGGATCTTGTTGGTCAAAATAAGTGTAACTGAAGCTTGTTGGTCAACATAATTGTAACTGGAGCTTGTTGGTTAACATAAGTGTAACTGGATCTTGTTGGTTAACATAAGTGTAACTGGAGCTTGTTGGTCAACATAAGTGTAACTGGAGCTTGTTGGTTAACATAAGTGTAACTGGAGCTTGTTGGTCAACATAAGTGTAACTGGAGCTTGTTGGTCAACATAATTGTAACTGGAGCTTGTTGGTCAACATAAGTGTAACTGGATCTAGTTGGTTAACATAAGTGTAAGTGGATCTACTTGGTCAACATAAGTGTAACTGGAGCTTGTTGGTCAACATAAGTGTAACTGAAGCTTGTTGGTCAACATAAGTGTAACTGGATGTTGTTGGTCAACATAAGTGTAACTGAAGCTTCTTGGTCAACATAAGTGTAACTGGATCTTGTTGGTTAACATAAGTGTAACTGGTGTTTGTTGGTCAACATAAGTGTAACTGGAGCTTGTTGGTCAACATAATTGTAACTGGAGCTTGTTGGTTAACATAAGTGTAACTGGATCTAGTTGGTTAACATAAGTGTAAGTGGATCTACTTGGTCAACATAAGTGTAACTGGAGCTTGTTGGTCAACATAAGTGTAACTGGATCTAGTTGGTCAACATACGTGTAAGTGGATCTAGTTGGTCAACATAAGTGTAAGTGGATCTACTTGGTTAACATAACTGTAACTGGAGCTTGTTGGTCAACATAAGTGTAACTGGTTTTTGTGTCTGTCAACATAAGTGTAACTGGAGCTTGTTGGTCAACATAAGTGTAACTGGAGCTTGTTGGTCAACATAATTGTAACTGGAGCTTGTTGGTCAACATAAGTGTAACTGGATCTTGTTG